CCAGACTACTAGCAGTCTGAAACAGTTTCCTTGTTAATGCAACCTCACATATTCCACATGGCCAGACTACTAGCAGTCTGAAACAGTTTCCTTGTTAACACAACCTCACATATTCCACATGGCCAGACTACTAGCAGTCTGAAACAGTTTCCTTGTTAATACAACCTCACATATTCCACATGGCCAGACTACTAGCAGTCTGAAACAGTTTCCTTGTTAACACAACCTCACACATTCCACATGGCTTGACTACTAGAAGTCTGAAACAGTTTCCTTGTTAATACAACCTCACATATTCCACATGGCTTGACTACTAGCAGTCTGAAACAGTTTCCTTGTTAATACAACCTCACACATTCCACATGGCTTGACTACTAGAAGTCTGAAACAGTTGCCTTGTTAATACAACCTCACATGTTCCACATGGCCAGACTACTAGCAGTCTGAAACAGTTGCCTTGTTAATACAACCTCACACATTCCACATGGCCAGACTACTAGAAGTCTGAAACAGTTTCCTTGTTAACACAACCTCACACATTCCACATGGCTTGACTACTAGAAGTCTGAAACAGTTGCCTTGTTAATACAACCTCACATGTTCCACATGGCTTGACTACTAGCAGTCTGAAACAGTTTCCTTGTTAACACAACCTCACACATTCCACATGGCCAGACTACTAGAAGTCTGAAACAGTTTCCTTGTTAACACAACCTCACACATTCCACATGGCTTGACTACTAGAAGTCTGAAACAGTTGCCTTGTTAATACAACCTCACATGTTCCACATGGCCAGACTACTAGCAGTCTGAAACAGTTTCCTTGTTAATACAACCTCACATATTCCACATGGCCAGACTACTAGCAGTCTGAAACAGTTTCCTTGTTAATGCAACCTCACATATTCCACATGGCCAGACTACTAGCAGTCTGAAACAGTTTCCTTGTTAACACAACCTCACACATTCCACATGGCTTGACTACTAGAAGTCTGAAACAGTTTCCTTGTTAACACAACCTCACATATTCCACATGGCCAGACTACTAGCAGTCTGAAACAGTTTCCTTGTTAACACAACCTCACACATTCCACATGGCCAGACTACTAGCAGTCTGAAACAGTTTCCTTGTTAACACAACCTCACACATTCCACATGGCTTGACTACTAGCAGTCTGAAACAGTTTCCTTGTTAATACAACCTCACATATTCCACATGGCCAGACTACTAGCAGTCTGAAACAGTTGCCTTGTTAACACAACCTCACATATTCCACATGGCCAGACTACTAGCAGTCTGAAACAGTTTCCTTGTTAACACAACCTCACATGGCCAGACTACTAGCAGTCTGAAACAGTTTCATTGTTAACACAACCTCACATATTCCACATGGCCAGACTACTAGCAGTCTGCAACAGTTGCCTTGTTAATACAACCTCACATATTCCACATGGCCAGACTACTAGCAGTCTGAAACAGTTTCCTTGTTAATACAACCTCACATATTCCACATGGCCAGACTACTAGCAGTCTGAAACAGTTGCCTTGTTAACACAACCTCACATATTCCACATGGCCAGACTACTAGCAGTCTGAAACAGTTTCCTTGTTAACACAACCTCACATGGCCAGACTACTAGCAGTCTGAAACAGTTTCATTGTTAACACAACCTCACATATTCCACATGGCCAGACTACTAGCAGTCTGCAACAGTTGCCTTGTTAACACAACCTCACATATTCCACATGGCTTGACTACTAGCAGTCTGAAACAGTTTCATTGTTAATGCAACCTCACATATTCCACATGGCTTGACTACTAGCAGTCTGCAAAAGTTGCCTTGTTAACACAACCTCACATATTCCACATGGCCAGACTACTAGCAGTCTGAAACAGTTTCCTTGTTAACACAACCTCACACATTCTACATGGCTTGACTACTAGAAGTCTGAAACAGTTTCCTTGTTAATACAACCTCACATGGCCAGACTACTAGCAGTCTGAAACAGTTTCATTGTTAATGCAACCTCACATATTCCACATGGCCAGACTACTAGCAGTCTGAAACAGTTTCCTTGTTAACACAACCTCACATATTCCATGGGCCAGACTACTAGCAGTCTGAAACAGTTTCCTTGTTAACACAACCTCACATATTCTACATGGCTTGACTACTAGCAGTCTGAAACAGTTTCCTTGTTTATACAACCTCACATATTCCACATGGCCAGACTACTAGAAGTCTGAAACAGTTTCCTTGTTAATACAACCTCACATATTCCACATGGCCAGACTACTAGCAGTCTGAAACAGTTTCCTTGTTAATACAACCTCACATATTCCACATGGCCAGACTACTAGCAGTCTGAAACAGTTTCCTTGTTAATACAACCTCACATATTCCACATGGCCAGACTACTAGCAGTCTGAAACAGTTTCCTTGTTTATACAACCTCACATATTCCACATGGCTTGACTACTAGCAGTCTGAAACAGTTTCCTTGTTAATACAACCTCACATATTCCACATGGCCAGACTACTAGCAGTCTGAAACAGTTTCCTTGTTAACACAACCTCACATGGACCAGACTGAAACAGTTTCCTTGTTAACACAACCTCCCGTATTCCACATGGCCAGACTACTAGCAGTCTGAAACAGTTTCCTTGTTAACACAACCTCACATATTCCACATGGCTTGACTACTAGAAGTCTGAAACAGTTTCCTTGTTAACACAACCTCACATGGCCAGACTACTAGCAGTCTGAAACAGTTTCCTTGTTAACACAACCTCACATATTCCACATGGCTTGACTACTAGAAGTCTGAAACAGTTTCCTTGTTAATACAACCTCACATATTCCACATGGCCAGACTACTAGCAGTCTGAAACAGTTTCCTTGTTTATACAACCTCACATATTCCACATGGCTTGACTACTAGAAGTCTGAAACAGTTTCCTTGTTAACACAACCTCACATGGCCAGACTACTAGCAGTCTGAAACAGTTTCCTTGTTAACACAACCTCACATATTCCACATGGCTTGACTACTAGCAGTCTGAAACAGTTTCCTTGTTAATACAACCTCACACATTCCACATGGCCAGACTACTAGCAGTCTGAAACAGTTGCCTTGTTAATACAACCTCACATATTCCACATGGCCAGACTACTAGCAGTCTGAAACAGTTTCCTTGTTAATACAACCTCACATATTCCACATGGCCAGACTACTAGCAGTCTGAAACAGTTTCCTTGTTAACACAACCTCACACATTCCACATGGCCAGACTACTAGCAGTCTGAAACAGTTTCCTTGTTAACACAACCTCACACATTCCACATGGCCAGACTACTAGCAGTCTGAAACAGTTTCCTTGTTAATACAACCTCACATATTCCACATGGCCAGACTACTAGCAGTCTGAAACAGTTTCCTTGTTTATACAACCTCACATATTCCACATGGCCAGACTACTAGAAGTCTGAAACAGTTTCCTTGTTAACACAACCTCACATATTCCACATGGCCAGACTACTAGCAGTCTGAAACAGTTTCCTTGTTAACACAACCTCACACATTCCACATGGCTTGACTACTAGCAGTCTGAAACAGTTTCCTTGTTAACACAACCTCACACATTCCACATGGCTTGACTACTAGCAGTCTGAAACAGTTTCATTGTTAACACAACCTCACATATTCCACATGGCCAGACTACTAGCAGTCTGAAACAGTTTCCTTGTTAACACAACCTCACACATTCCACATGGCTTGACTATTAGCAGTCTGAAACAGTTTCCTTGTTAATACAACCTCACATATTCCACATGGCCAGACTACTAGCAGTCTGAAACAGTTTCCTTGTTAATACAACCTCACACATTCCACATGGCCAGACTACTAGCAGTCTGAAACAGTTTCCTTGTTTATACAACCTCACATATTCCACATGGCCAGACTACTAGCAGTCTGAAACAGTTTCCTTGTTAATACAACCTCACACATTCCACATGGCCAGACTACTAGCAGTCTGAAACAGTTTCCTTGTTAACACAACCTCACATGGCCAGACTACTAGCAGTCTGAAACAGTTTCCTTGTTTATACAACCTCACACATTCCACATGGCCAGACTACTAGCAGTCTGAAACAGTTTCCTTGTTTATACAACCTCACACATACCTCAAGACCAGATGACAAACAGTCAGACACAGTTTCCTTAATAATACAACCTCATGCATATAGCGAAGCCAGATGACAAGCAATCTGAAACAACAGCCATAACACTTTCTGTGTTAATACAACTTCAAACGTACAAGAACAGACTAGTAGCAGTCTGAAACAGTGTCCTTATTAATATAAGTTTACAGAGACCTCAAGAACAGACTAGTAGCAGTCTGAAACAGTGTCCTTATTAATATAAGTTTACAGAGACCTCAAGAACAGACTAGTAGCAGTCTGAAACAGTGTCCTTATTAATATAAGTTTACAGAGACCTCAAGAACAGACTAGTAGCAGTCTGAAACAGTGTCCTTATCAGTACAACCTCAAACATACTTCAAGGCCAGACTAGTCACAGCTCAGAATACTTTAATTGTTAATGCAACCTCAAAGCTATCACAAGAACAGACAAGTAGCAGCAAGGAACACTTTCCTTATTAATATGACCTCAAACATACCACAATGCCAGTGGCGTAGCAGCTTATTTACATCAGTGTGGTCATTGATTGAAACTATCAACCATATTGGAATGTTTATTGAGTGAAATAATTACATCTTGAGAAAGCCAAACATTTATAACCTTTTGAATTTGTGTTCTGAGTAACTTATCAATTTGTGTCGTGCCCGTTAGGCCTGCATATTGAGGATATTTCATATCGTAGAGAGATACCACTCAATTATTAACATAATAACTTCACTCTCGCTCCGTAGCCTAGCAGCTGCAGTGGTAATGAGACAGGCTCTCCCACAATGCTGTGCGGTATTGATCGTGAAAACTGCTGCATCTGTAATGGACTCATGTTGAGGAAGGAGTGAACTGGAATCAACATGTCTGTGTATGTGTAATTCTCATTCTACACTCCTAGCCAAGTTCTAGTGTCCAGCTAACCCTTCCCCATCTACCAGGGATAAGGGTCTTTGGTCTTTCACTGTGTGTTCTGGTGAGTTGCTTGTCCATTTCAGGGCAGTATAACTGTCTCTTCTTCTTGAGATCTGTGATGGATGTTCTCCATTTTGGATAGGAAGGTATTGATTTTGGTGGCCAGTTTCAAGCAGAGATATTGGCTCTCTCTGCCTCTCAAGGAATTGGATTATCATACCAAAACAACAACGCAGTTTTCTGTTTGCTGGGATTCATGTGAAATATATAAACAAGATGTTCTATATTCTACCATCTCAAGACTTTCAGTAGGAGTCTTGACATAATTAACCGTCATGCTTTCGGATGTCACTGGTGTTAACGTTAAGGTTAGAATGATGTATACTTAAATGGCTGAAATAGCCTCATACTCCCTGTAACTGACTAAAGCTAACCATTGCAAATGTTATGCCAATTATTATCTGTAAACGAAAAGCAGGCTATTAATTATGGAGTAGATTTAATGATCTGAAATTGGTGTGCCACACATAGTTAGTGTAATTAGTGATTCTTTACATCTTCCACCTGCGATAATCATGGTGAGTTTCATATATTATTCAGTCTACTAGAGGAAGTGACAGCCAGTGGATAGATTGTAGAGAGTGTGTTGATAGGGTTATTGATTGTCTTGTTCTTAGGGTCATTTCAGGTTTATAATGAGACCAAATACAAGTCTATACTACTCTGGCCTGAGTGTGACAAGTTTCTAATTACAGTAAAATATTTCAAGGAAAACCAGAGTATCGATTCAGCAATGTTTTACCCTGACTTGTTACAATTCAGTCTGATGTTATGCTACTGGTAAAAGACAATGAACTGATGCCTTGATGTTTGTAATCCTTGTAATGATGGTGGCATGGACCATGTAAACTATATAGCTTTGAATATAGGTGAATACTATAGGTAGCAAACACTTTACTCCAAAATCACAACGTGTCCCTTTGGGTTGGGTTGGTGAATCTTGCGTGAAAATGAAACTCACACATCAGAATCTTTGTCAAACTGCTGTAGAGAGACTGTGGAAATTGAGTGTACAAGTGTGCTAAAAACCCAGATAAACAGTTTTAACAGTTGATGATCTAAATAGGAGATGAAGATGCGCATTTTAAAAAACCAATTGTTTTGCAATTTCAGTACAATCACCGAGTGGTGCATAGCAGTGGAGAGTGCCACTACCGGTATTATGTTCCTAATTGATGTTCCAAAATCATGATGCAATATATCTGTGACAGAATCACAGCTACGCTTTACATTAGTTTTAGATGTTACAGATATTGATTGCTATAAAGTATCTGTAATCAATATTGACACAACCTATATACAGCCGGTTATGTATGGCTGTGTCAGCTGTGTATTGATTCTTTGTGTAGGCAGTGATGTGTTGCTCAGTTTAATGTCCAATCCTTTAAATGCTGTGTTGACATATCAGTAAAATAAGCCTATAAGAGTTTATAGTTCAGGTTGGCAGATCTCCAGGTTACTGTGATTTAAAACACTTCACATATTTTCATGTTAAAAGGGCAAATAGTGTTCTATTGATAATTTGCATTAATAACTGATATGATGTTGGAATAAAATCAGGATAGGATGAGAATTGCAGAGGAAATGTTTCAGTGTTGAATGTTACCAATATCCGGCGTGGACAATGATATCCAAGATTGAGGCCATGTTACCATGGAGATGGAATATGTCATTCGGGCAACAATACTAGCTAATGAGTAGGCTGTACATAGAATGACAGATGGATGTCAAAGTGTTAATGATGTATTGGCCAGCTTTAGTTTGGCTCTATCTGTCCATATCCCTTTACATTCTCCAAAGCAGCATTGTTCTTATGTAACAATAAGGGTAAATGCTATACATTGACATCTGTAATGAATGTGGCTAACGATGTATGTGGGAGTGAGACTCTAAATTACACTGGCTGAACTATTTCTCTCCATAACTGATGTCTGGGTACCCATGGTCATTCAGTTCAATGCTTGTATTAAGCCATCAATCATGATGATGAGTTGTTAGTATAATGGTGGATCAGTTATTGTCTGTTTGTATAATATATTTGTACATTGGATGTGAGGCCACACTCCATGATGATATAGTTGGTATTGAAGTTAACCCTTCTCCCTCCATGGCCACTGTGTAGCTGCAGAAAGATCTGAATGATATGTCAACTGATCCTGTCCCAGCGAGAAGAGCAGGCTGGTGAGAGTATGTATTAGGTATGAAATAAGCCTTTCATTCTGTAATCCGTCAGTTTTTGTGGCAATAGTACAGCTCCATGATGTCTTGTAAGTATCTGGACCAGATAACTCAGTGATGGATATACAGTAAATTATGGTTATACTGAACTCAAAGGGACCACTAATTTTAGTTTGTTATATCTGTAGTTTATTACTAAACTATACACGAAGGTACAGGTTTAGTTTGAGCACTTAGTAAACATGTTCTGTATATTTGTTTATATGAGATCCATATTTGTCAACTTACATATATTAGGGACCTGTCTTAAACCAGAATCTCCATGTGGTCAACAGGAATATATGTTTCAGCAAATCTTTGCAACTTAAGTGTCATTTAAAAGTTGGTGTGATTAACAAGGACAATTTTTTTTACAGAAAATCAACTTCTTTATTACAACTGAAGTGATGTAGTAATAAAGGTTAGAATGTACATCATAATGATACCTCAATCCTCGTTCGGTATATCAGGGCAATGCTGTCTTGGACGATGTACCATTAGTCGGGAAAATGTTGCAATAGCTGGCCAAGTGTGGTCAATAAGAATATCTATACACATTTGACCATTTAAATGACCATCTGCAATGGCAATAGTTCCAACTCTGTGGACCTGTGAAGATTCAGGTAAAAATTGATCTTCAGAAACCCATGCTTGTAATAAGAGGCAACTATCTTGATCAGGTGGTCAGGCTCACTGACTTGGTCATCGTATCCCAGTTGTGTAGATCAATGTTCATGCTGTTGATCACTGGATTGTCTGGTTCAGACTCGATTATTTACAGACCTACCGCTATATAGGTGGAATATTGCTAAGTGCAGCGTTAAACAAAATTCCAACTCCGTGCCATGTGATACAGACCCAGATTATCAAACTCAGATCATCAAACTCAGTCCCCATGCACTGAAGGGACCATTCATCTCAAATATTTCTCCAAATAAGTACTCTCTGATTTTTCTCAATAAGCACCTTTTATTTGTCACAGAGGATGACCTTTTCCAGTATTTGTCTTTTAAGTTGAGTCTGCTCCTGCACCATGCCAGTCTGTTTTTACTGTTGACATCTTGAATTCATAATTTCTTTATCATAACATGCTGATGGTAGCCTTTATTTTCTTCAGACACTCTTTCTGGACATAGGTCTGTTCTTAAGCGGATTAAAAATAGCTGTTACATCAGTCAAAATTCTTTGCTTTCCGTCAGTATTTTCAAAGGTTGGCCTGTTTTCTAGGGAAGCACTTGCATCAACATGACATATGACATGGTAAACAGTTGAAGAATGCCAATTCTGTCACCTGCTGCTTTTTTATCTTTTCGGTACAAGTTTACAATTGATGATTTCACCACTGCCTATTCATTTCTTTCTGTCGTGGTGGCAAGATGTTTGCATCAGCAGTACAAGTTTGCCTAGAAGTAAGCAAAGACATGTGACACATGATTTTTAAACAGTAGTGTTGTGCATACCTTTTGTGCCCACGGGATAGGCTGAGAAGAATGCCTTGGCCACCATGCTGCATGGGGACTACAAGTGCCCAGGCTGTTAGGTCTCCAGATGGTGTACCTAATACATCATTGTCAACCAGCCAGGAGGAGGTAGAGTAGACTGTTTACAACAGAAGTTAGAGCCTTACCTGCCTTCTTCTACTAGTCCTTTGACTGAGTGCCAAACATACATCATCGTCAGCCATCTAGAAGAATCCCCCGGGCGTGAGACTGCATGGTCAACAGTTGCCAATAGATTCCCATCAGGTAGCTGCTAGTGTCGATAAATTCCCATCAGCTAGCTGCTAGTGTCGATAAATTCCCATCAGCTGGATGCTAGTGCCGATAGATTCCCATCAGCTGGCTGCTAGTGCCGATAGATTCCCATCAGCTGGCTGCGTTCCTTGACAGCGTTCCGAACTCAACTTTTGTAAGACCAGCTAGTATCATCAGACACTCAGTGTTCCATTTGGAAAGCACTCAGGTCTTGCATGGACTGCACAGACCATTCAGCTCCAGTTAATGTTCAGTCCCATGGGAATGGAACTTTTTAAACATTTCTTTGCACTGACTGTCCTGTACAACCTGAATCATTTGATTGTCTAATTCTAAGTGACAAGGATCCAGCTGATGTAGAATCAAGCAGGCTGTTGGCAGTATATATCACACAGTCCTGTTCATATCTATGGGTTATGATCTATGGATACAACAGTTCCCTATAACACCGACTGTGGGTCCAGTGGGAGAACATCTGTTCTTTGCCTAAACCTGGAGACTGCCTGATCACTGTATCCTATATGTTGTCTCTCCAAGGTACAGCTCCACTTCTAGACCTGCTATTGCTTGTGGTCAGACCTTGGGTCCAAAGTTGGCAGCAGATGAACTCACTTCTTTCTAAAGGCTTTCCTAAACTGTTGGACTATTTGGGAACTCCAAGAAATGGACTTAGTTACAGCCTTATTTCAGGTTTTATTAGTGCAAAGACGAATTCAACTGAAATGAGGATGATCAAGATCCTGTTCAAATTCTTCCTCTTACCTCCTTCTAAATACCTGGCATAATTGTTCCGAAGTTTCCAATTGACCCTCAGAGATTGTTTCCTAATCATCAACATTCAGGGTACATACCTTCTCCGATTCATCAGTCATTGTAGAAATATCTCAGTTTTGTATTGAATGTTTGCCGCTGAGAGTTCAGCATGCATCTGTTCGGAATCACATTGACGGCACAGTTCAAGGGTACTGTAGTCCCCTGTCCAGTAAGTTGTGGGTAGATTATGTCTGTAACATGTGATCAAGACTAAATG